GACCTCTGCTAGACAAAGGCTTCTGGGAGCTTCAGGGCCTTGAGCACGGTCAGCCGCTTGTGCCTCGGTGAGAAGGGGTTTATGGACCATCCCTTCTTCACAGTGTGCTCAAGGCCAGCCAGATCGGCATCTGCCGGCTGGTGTCATACCAGCTGCGCGGCTGACATTTGTTCTAGATGCTCTAAAGTTTGTCTTTATCTGCTGGCATCTGAGAAAGCAGAAGGATGAGGCAGGGGCCGTTTCCGCTCTCCCTCTGCGAGGTCTGTGGAGTGCCCGCGTTGGCCTTGGCTCCTGGGCAGGGTGGCTGGTGCGGCCTATGGTCACCATGACCCCGAGGGAACGTGAGCTCGCAGCGCTGCTCAGGGGGACTCATGGGACAGTCCAGAGAGACGCTGCGTCTGCAGACTGTGCGGTGGCCAGTACGCCTGTGACCAGGACTCTTTCAGGCTGCTCCTGCCTCTTCACGGAGCCTGCAACACCACCTGCCAGACCCCTGCCAGTTCACAATTCTTTTTGAACTTGTAGAGAGCTCCGAGGACACAGGGAGTGCCTGTCAGCTCCTAGTATATCTGGAGCCAGATAACTCTTCGTTTTGGGGGTGCTGCCCTAAGCATTGCAGGATGCTTGGAGCACGCACACCCAAAGTTGTGACAACGCAAACTGTGTCCGGACTGGCCACTCCCAGTGTGGGGGTGGGGAGCAAAAGCACCCCCTTGAGAACCATAGCCCTGCTCTTAAGTGGGTGATTGTGGGTATTGGTGGCTGGATGTGGCCCCTCCAAGACGCCCACCTCCTAATCCCTGGAACCTTCTGGAGTGACGCAGGATTGGGCAGGGGCAGATTTTTCTGGATTATCTGGTTAGACACAGGATGATCACAGGGTCCTTCTAAGCAGAGGGGAGAGCTAGGGGCTCAGACAGTGGAGCCCCAAGGGACCTGAAGGTGCCCCCCATCTGGCTCAGAGCAGGGAGTCGGGGCCTCAGCTGGCCTGTCCACGAGGAAGAGCAGGTCAGTTGCATATACGTGTGCAGGGAGGCAGCTCTAGACACTGGGAAGACCCAGGACACAGATTGTCCCCTTCGCCTCCGGAACACAGGGCTGCCCGCACCTTGGCTCCGGCCATTCTGACGTCCTGACCTTGGGGCGGCCGGTCTCTGCTGGCCGAGCTCACTTACTCTGGCCAGACGGCAGAGAAAAGGGTGCTGTCGACCTGGTGTGGGGTGCACCAACAGCATGACCATCGGGATACGCGTGGCGTTGAGTGGGCAAGCGTGTCCGTGCAGGAAGTGGCTCAAGAATCACTTGTTGGGCGTGACTCAGCACCAGGCGCAGAGGAACCTGGGTCAGGGTAGCGGTTCGGGGTGGGAGGGGGGCAGTACTGTCACTGAACCCTTGTTAGAGATTAGCAGATACGTGATAGGGATTCAGAGCCCACGGAGAGGCGCCACCGTACGATGTCAGCAGTTACCCGTCGTGGTCAGATCTGGCTCTGCCCGCTGTGGGCCAGCCCCTTATGGTGTAGAGCTTCTCTGGCCAGGATGTGTTCTAACTTCTCAGCGTTGCGGAGACATTCCAGTCTCCCCACCACCACCCGTTCCCACCAGGCCGTGTTGACTGGCCTTGGTCTCCCTGATCCTCAGCCACGTACATGTCAGGCCCTGGGTTCCATGCACAGGTGTTGGGTCCCATCTTTTCTGGAGGTTGCCCCTAAGGCAGCCCCCGTGGTAAGCTCACGTGGGGATGACACCCTCACCAGATACTGTAATGTGATGAGAGTGTCTGTGCTTTCAAAACACTGTGTGCAAAGAAAACCCCAGACATTAAATTATTTGCAGTGGAAGCATCTTCCCATGAAAGTTTAAAGAGGAGGTGGGTGTCTTTGTTGTTATCCCATCAGAATTCTGGAGGAGACTCCAGGCTGTGCATGCTGGCTGGGTGCCTTTGGGGTGTGTGTGGGGGGGGTCCTCACAGGCTCGCCTCCTTTGCAAGGATGCCCTCCCGGCTTCTCCAGGAGGAATGACCCAGACCAGTGGTGTGTTGCGAAATTTACTGACCAGTCCTGAGGGCACCATGATTTGCAGGACTTGCCAGTTTCCGTGGTGTAAATATTCCCATCACACGTGGCCGACGCGCCATGGGCCAGCCCAGAGTCCCTGCACATGTAACGGTTCGGTCTCCCAAGCGGGGTGAGCAGGCTCCAGGGATCTGCATCAGCGCTTTTGTCCACCACCCGTGTAGCCTTGGCCGTGACCCCACATCCGAGCCCGGCTGGTGGCCGGCAGCCCTGTGCTGGTCGCCTGCCTCTGGGTGCCTGGGCGGGGAGGCACCGCGCACCATCTCTCCCTGCGGCGGCGTCCCCTGGGCGGGAGTGGGGACAGCGGCAGACGGTGACGCTTAGAGGGCTGTGCACACAGCTGCCTCGCCTTTTTCTGGGAACGTTTCCAAGAAGAGACGGGACTTTTTAAAAATATAGGGAGTTGGGGGAAGTTGGGTGGATGGAAAAGGAAGTCTTGCCCATCTAAAAGGAACTCGGTGTGGGGAAAACACAGCAGGGGGATTTGTAGAACAGATGGTGGGGTTCCCCCAAATGTCGCTGTGGTGGAAAGGAGGGAGGAGGCGATCTGGAGAGACTGGGTGAGTGGGTGTCGTCCTGGCTGTACAGACAGACGGGTCTCAAGCACGCCGGCCCATGAGGGACACGTTAGGGGGGTGTGTGGTGTGAGGCCGTGGACTGGCCATGCTTTGTTCTCCATCTGACCACAGCTCACTTGGCAGTGACCTTTGGGTATTGCATCAGCACCTGAGGCCCCCCGAGTGACCCCCCCCACCCTTGGAAGGGCGTGCGTGTACGTAGACCACAGATCAGTCCTTCATGCTCTCGCCTGGACATCAGTGTGGCCGTTCTATTCCTGGAAACCCGAGCCCCCAGGTCCAGTGATCAGCGCCAGAAGGCCCCTCTGCCGGCCTCTCCCAGGGACTGCCCCGGGGCGGGCAGCTGTGCAAATGCCCAGGCGGCCAAGCGGGCTCGGGGCAGCTCGGGGGGCTCACAGGAGCCCTGCCTCTGGGGCCGCGCCAGGAAAAGGAAGAAGCCGTGAAGGTCACTGCCCAGAACGTGTCGCCGCCAAATGCGATGAGTTTAACGATTCCCAGCATGACCTTTGGCGTGCGGAGTGCGAGCCGACTGTCCACGGGGCTCTCACGGGGCCTGGAGGGGGGTTGGGGGCGGATAACCACTGGCCTTTGGCAAGACACGCATCCTGCGAGTGGACCCTGAAGACAAGGAAGCCTGCACCCCTCCCACCCTGTGATGGGCAGGCTGCGGGCCCGCCGAGGTCCACACTTGGTGGGACGCGTGAGCCTGGGGGTTCCGTCGGGGCGCGCCCTGTGTGTCTTGAGTGCTGTTCTGAGGATGAGGGGGTGGGGTTCAGGCTCACACTTGGTGTTTATCTCAGTTCCCAGGGGGGCCCTCGCCCAGGCGCCCCTGACTGCTGATCCCCATCCACTCGCGGCCTAGATTCAAATCCTTCACACCCAGGGGCCTCAGCCTTTTCTCTCTCCTCGCCCAGCCCCTCAAGGCCACGTCCGCTGGTCCAGCAGTGGAGGGCACATTCCCGGGGTCACTGGAGCAGACTCTGAGTTCCAGCGCTGATCCCGTTTCTGGATAATGTGTGCTTTTGACAAAATATCTTAAGGTTCTTCGTGCAAAAAATGGGATCGGGGCACCATATAAATCTAATTCAACCCTTCACACTGCAGGCCCGGCTCGGATGGCAGGACGCCTGCCCTTGGGCCTCCCTCCAGGGCTTGGAGACACGGCCTCCTCTCGGTGGGCCAGGTTCTCTCTTTTTCTAGACAGTGGTCAGATTGGATTTGGGTTCACACTCATGATTTCATTTTAACTTAATTGGCTCTTCTGAGACCCTGTCCAGAGATGGTCACGCTCAGAGGCCCTGCCTCGGGACCTCGACACAGCAGCCCCATCGCGGGCTGCTCTAAACAGGTCGATGTGTGCACGTGCTCCATGAGTCTCGGGGGCCAGGGCTCTCGGGGGGCCCTGCTGTGCCCCAGAGTTAGTTGGCTGCCCCAGTGTCCTCTCTGCAGCAGCTTCCAGGAGGAACTGCAGCCCAGTCTCGGGGCCGTGATCAGAGGAGAGGGAGAGAGGCCAGTGGCCGAGGCCAGGGACTTTAACGCATTAACCAGACATAACGTAGGAGCGGGTGCCGCCAAGGCCCAGATGCGTTCTCGAGCATGTTGCCAACACCCTCACGAAGGCAGCGTGGGCTGCCGGCTCCCCCAAAGCATGAGTCACAACGCTAGTGGATCTGGACAGAAGCCAGAGCAGGCCGGGTCCTGCCAGCCCAGACCCCGGCAATGGCCAGCGGGAGAAAGCAGGCGGGGGTGCGGGTGGCTCGGGGAGAAGAGGATGACCCGGGACGGAGGCCCCGGAACACGGCTGTGGCCGCAGGACGTAGTGGCGGGTGGGGAATAGAGTGCGGCTCATTCCCAGCTGCCGGGGGCCGTGAGTGATCGATGGAAAGGGGCTGGCAGTGCCTTCCCGGGAAACGGCTGCGGAGCCAGGGCAGTGAGTGTGCCGTGGCCTTCCCCATCCGTGTCCTCCTTGCGCCCTGCGGGGGCCGCGGGCTGCGGGTGGAGGGGATCCCAGCCCTGGACGTGCGTCGGCCTGGTGCCTTCAGCCGGGAGCGGGTGGCCCCGCGCACAGCAGGGTGGGAACCGTCAAGGCAGCCCTGCTCTCCCCACTCTCCCCCCGGCCCGGCCCGTTGGCCTCAGCGTGCCTCTCGAGCCCTGGCCCTCCGCCTTTCCGCGCGGGGCCCTGGACGCCGGACCTAGACCCCCAGCTGTCAGCTGCAGGCGCAGCCGTGCCCGCCGGTGCCGCGCCTGCCCCTGTGCATCTCCCACTCCAGGGGGTGTGGGCGCCTCCTCCCGCAGCCCGCGGGGCCATGGCCGCGCGTGTTGACCGTGTGGGTCTGTCTCTCCGGCAGGTGTCTCCTCTGCGACGTCCCTGATGTCCCTGGCTTGGGTGCTAGCCTCCTATCACAAGCTGCTGCGGGACTCCAGGGATGACAAGAAGAGCATGAGCTACAGAGGGGCCCTCATCCACCTCTTCTGGCGTCTCTTCACCATCTCCTCCAGAGTTATCTCTTTTGCCCTCTTTGCTTCCATCTTCCAGCTCTACTTCGGGATCTTCGTGGTGGTGCACTGGTGCGCCATGGCCTTCTGGATCATCCATGGCGGAACGGACTTCTGCATGTCCAAGTGGGAGGAGATCCTCTTCAACATGGTGGTAGGGATCGTGTACATTTTCTGCTGGTTTAACGTCAAGGAAGGGCGGACTCGATACCGAATGTTTGCGTATTATACGATAGTCTTGACCGAGAATGCTGCCTTGACGTTCCTTTGGTATTTTTACAGAAACCCGGAGACCACTGACTCCTACGCGGTGCCAGCACTGTGTTGTGTCTTTATTAGCTTTGTGGCTGGGATCGCACTGATGCTCTTATATTACGGTGTGCTGCATCCCGTGGGGCCGCGAGCTAAGATCTTTGCCAGCTCCTGTTGTGCCGAGCTGCTCTGGGGCATCCCTCTGCCCCCCGATGTTGAGCCCATGGCGCCTCAGACCCCTGGGTACCGGGGGACCCAGGTCACGCCCACCAGAGCCGTCACGGAACAACAGGAGGACCTCACGGCCGACACTTGCTTGCCCGTTTTCCAAGTGAGACCCGTGGAGCCCTCCACCCCGTCGGGGCGTCCTTACCCAGAAGGGCCCCTCATTAAGATTGACATGCCAAGAAAGAGATACCCAGCTTGGGATGCCCATTTCGTAGACAGGAGGCTGAGGAGGACTATTAACATCCTACAGTACGTGACCCCCACTGCGGTGGGCATTCGGTATCGGGACGGACCGCTCCTTTATGAATTGCTGCAGTATGAGTCTTCACTCTAAGAGCACCTGGGCCCGAGCTGAGAAGGGGACCTTAAGTTTGGTCGGCGGTAAACACCGCCTGCAAGAAATATAACCCTCCCTGCCCCCAGTACACAGAAACACCACCTCCACCACCACCTCACCACCACCTCCACCACTGCTACAAAAAAGAGAAAATAATAAGTCACGACCCCTTCAGATAAGCTTTCTTTCCAGTCGCTGTATGTATACAAAGATACTCTCTATGTTTTGTAAGTAAAAACAAAAAGAAACCTTTCTTTTGTTTTCTACACATAAACAGTATTGAAAAATCCCACACTATGGTTCAGAGGGTGGAGTAGGAGGAGCTGTCTCCACTCCAGACGGAAAACAAGTTTTATACCTTACACCAAGTGTAGATCATTTCTGGGATTGGTGCTGATTGAAAGAACAAAACAAAACAAAACAAAACAAACAAACAAACAAACAAACCTCCAACTGCCTTATGCCCTTAGGTGCTGGGTTTGTTAAGTACTGTCTTGTTTCCTCACGCCAGCCCTCTGGTGCCCTGCGCACCGAGAGGGACGATTCAACAATGAAATGAAACTAATCTGGAGACAAAACAAAAACCAACCTGCGAATAAAACGCAAAGCAATCATTCCTCCTATCTGACGATTTCTATTGAAGAAAACAAATTTACCAAAAGCAAAGGCGTAGTATCCTCTCCTCCTTTTTGCTTTTTCTCCCTCCCCTCCTGCCCCGGCCCCCAACTTCTCAGCCTTCTCGGAGCCCAACAGTCATTTGAAACGCAGATGGCTGGGCGAGCTATTTGAAGGCTGACTATGTGCCATTCGAGCAGTCACCTAGTGAGAATCACACTTACTTCTTGGCAAAAGCGAAACAAAAAGCCACCCCAGCAATTCGCTTAGAACAGGAAATTCCAAAGCAAATTTAAGAATTCCATAGATGCAATCAAAGAGAGTCAGTAATAATAAAACTCAGCATAGTAGCAAAAAGAACGACATCAATTTAAAGGCACAGTATTTAATCAGTGACTGGCAAAAATGATCTGTTCCATCATTTTTAGGCCGTGAAGGTAGAAGTACCACGTGTGATACTGCGTAAGGCCGGCTCTGTTTCCATTTGGTGGGAAGCCTTAAATTGATCTGGAAAGAATTCTTCATTTTTCATTTGTGCTTTTTAAAAATATTAACACAGAGAAAAATTAGAGTTTATATATATACATATATATACATACACATATATACACGTATATATGTGTATGTATATATGAAAGTCAAATTGTAATAACCGATCCATTTCAAAGACCGTTTGGTGCTTCTGTCTCTCACCATTGTGGTTGCTTGGAAGTCACTCAGCTCCCTGGGCCGAGAGGGAAACTGTGTGTGTGTGGCTCGTGTGTCCAGTGCACGCGGATGTATGTATGCGTCTGCTGCAAGGTCTTGCCAGAATCGTAGAAACCGCTAGCAGACCCGCTCTGGTTCTGGCTGCCGGGAGCGCGAGGGGCTGGGAGGGCCAGGAAGGAGGGGGTGGTGCTTGAACTTGAGCCCCTGTCCTCCTGGGACAGGACGGCCAGACTCACACCAGCAGCAGCGCTGGGTCCTCGAGGCGTGTCATCCGGGTGAAGATTTACTTTCTCATTGTACCCAGTTGACTTTCTGGAGGTGTTCCAGCTTTGTTCAACCATTTCTTGATGTTGTTTTTCCAAGTGTCGCCCCAGTAAGGAGCGTTTCTGTTCGAGGGCGTTTCCATCCCAACACGGCTCGACTTGAGCACTGGGGAAAAAAAAAAAAAAAGGAAAAGAAAAAAAAACACAAAAAGAAAAAGTCTCCACAAAAAAAGAGATCTATATAAATATATATATACACACACGATATTTTTAATTCAAACCGTTAGTCTTTGTTGTGTGTAGCTGCGAATCTTCTTTATTAAACTCCAGATATAACTGTTTAGGGTGCGAAACCTCACATTGAACTGTTCTTAAGTTCAAGGACTGAGGGTTATTTTTTATGTTCGTGGGTTGTTTTCTTTTTTTTAAATAACTATTATTCAAAGAGGCTTCTCCTTCCCGCCCCGTCACTGCTCGGCTAGATCTGTCAAAAAAAAAAAGGGAAAGAACGTGTTTAAAACACATCGGCTGTACAACGGGACACTCCTTTCTCTGTCCTGACCCCTGGACCGCCTTCATGTGTGCTGGCCCTGGCTGCTGCGCCAGGTGGGAAGGAGAGCGGGCAGGAGACAGCCCCGGCCAGCGCCCACTCGCGGGGAACCGCGGCCACAGCACACCCGGCCGGCGAGGCCCAGCGGCCACTGCCCACCCACCCCAGGCAGGCGTTCCGGCCGCTCGTGAACGGCTCGTGCAGCTCTGCTGCGCTGGAGGCGCTTCTCCATCCGATTCTGCTCCCCGCGGGGGTGAGCCCCGTGTGTACTCTGCTGAGGCCCGGGTGGGGGTGAGGCCGTTTGCGAGGGTCCCGCACCTGGGCTGGCTGGGGGCCCAGCGACGCCCGAGGCCACCAGCGCCATCCTCAGCCCCCGTGTCCCCGCCTCCCGCCCCGTGGACCCCTGCCACGCGGGCTTCCCTGTCAGTTCCTGCATTTGCTTCCCTTCTCTTTCCCTTTTGCTGGACACCGTCCTAGCTGGTCACTTGCCCCATGTTGCTACCCTACCTTAGTGCGTGCACATGTGTGTGTGCATGTGAGTGTGTGCGGTGAGTGCGTGCATGCGTGTGTGCTCATGTACACGCGTGCTTGTGGTGTGTGAGTGCATGGCTCCTGCCCACATACAACCGAGGATTGGCGGGCGTTGACCTGGGGTGACCTCTTCAGCTCAGGGAGGGCCCTCTGGGCTCAGCCACGGGGACAGCGAGTAGCTCGGGGGCGTTTCAGGATCCCCTCCACCCCTGTTGCGGCTGGAAGTCTTGCCGCTTCTTTCTTGAAATGCCACGGCCCCTCCCGCCAGCCTGTGCTTTCGTGGTGGTGAAAATAGGCCTCTGAGCTGTAGCAGGGACTCTGCTCTGCAGAGAGGCAGAAATGGAAGAAGCGTTAGGAAGGAAATGGGGGAGGGGGCAGGAGGGCTGCAGACTGCGGGGAGGCGTCTGTGGTCAGCGGTGTCCATCTTCAGGCAGCCTCTCCCTGCCCAGCTCCCCCTTCACCTCCCCTGTGGCCTGGCCCCCAGTGTCCTTCCCTTTGGAGTGTGGCCAGCTGACCCTGGGCCTCGGTGTGGGATCCACACCCTTCCTTATGCGTCCACCCCGGGAGGTGCGCTCCCTGGGGCCCGTGTCGGTCCCGAAAATCCAAGTCTCTGAATCACTCTTCACTCGAGGGCAGCACGGCCTCACCCTGCCCTGGGACTCCACTTTCAAGCCTGCCCCTTCCTGAGCCCCAGACCAGCCCCGTAAGGGTGACTTGAGGGTCCAACCCACCTGTCCCAGCTACACCCCAGATATAACTATTTAGGGTGCAAATGCCTATGATGTGTTTAGTTTTATTTTTAAATCTTCTCGCCCAGGGACGACTGTAGAGACAGCTGCCCCCCAGGACGGAATTCTGGCAAGGAATAAGCACACCCCCCGGAGCTGGGCATAGAACAGGAAGCTCCTCCTTTCTTTCCTTATCGCACCCATGACCCAAATACCCCCCGCCCCCCCAGAAATTTTGGCTCTTCTCGTGCTGGAGCTGCTGTGGCTTCCCTGGGACCCTGGTTTCTGCAGCTGCTTCTGCCCCTTCTCCGGGCCTCAGTGTCCTCGCACAAGGTCGGGGGGACGTCCCATCCCAAAGAGACCCGTGGTGAGGGCCACCTAGTGGGTTTAGTTTGTCAGATGAGTCCCCTTGTCTCACGCCCTAAGCTTCTCATAGCCCATGTACCCTGCCCTTGGCCCAGACTCGCCCCAACAGACAAGCCGGCTGCTCTTGGGAACTTGGTGATGCTCCTTAGGGCTCCTGAGAGCCTCCTTCTGCCCCTCCCCACACCCTGCCCCCTCCAGGCACTAAGTCACCCCATACCCTTTGGTCCCCAGGACCGTCACCTTACCAGCCTTTAATAAGCATGACCCCCTGGGTCCCAGGGTGGGTGGAGAGGGTTCCTGTTTGGATGAGAGCGTGAGGGCAGGGCCCTAGGGTGCCTCTTGCCTTGGGATTCAGACCCTGCCCCCCAGGCGAGAGAGGATCGCGGAGTTTTGTAAAGTACCCAGCGATAGGGGCTTCTCCATTCTCCCCCGACATACCCCCACTGAGGGCAGAGGAGAGGATTTAGCTGCTGCTGGTGTTGGGAGACCCTCTGGCAAGCAGACCTCAGCTGCCCACCCCATGCCATCTGCATCTGATTGAGGGGGCCCCTCCCTCTGCTCCATCTGTTCTGACCCTTGATCCCGGGGTGAGGTGATTGTAACAAATCCCAAGCCCTGATGCCCCCAGACCTTAGCAAAGTGTCCACTCCCCACCGCCTGGAACAGATGGAGGAGGGTGCCGAGCAGGGCAGGGCCTCGGTGTGAAGAAGGGAGGTCGGAGCCGAGAGATCTCTTTAGCTACTTTAAAGGTTTCCCGTCTTGCTTCAAATGCTGCATCTTGAGCTATTGGCCAAATAGCTATTGGCCAAATAGCCCAGATCTCCGGGCCTCCTGCTCCCTCGGCCCCCAGGGAGGGGTCTGCGGTCACCTGGCCTTTGCTAGGCGCGGGGACGGTGTTTCTTTGCCAAGGAAAGTGGCATCTTACTCCACACGAGCTTCTCCAGGCCCCCACTGGGCCAGGACAGCAGCACGGGGCCCCACCAAAGGATGGGGTGCGCCTGGTGCCCCTTAGACTTTCTTGCTGAAAAGCTAAAACCTGGTGTCGCTTTGCCAAACAGAGAAATATTAAAATTAAGCCACCAGGTTTGGGTTGGGGATGGAGGGCACCCGAGGGCCACTCCCATTGTCCTTGGGCAGCAGACCGGCAGGGTCTTTCCGAGGAGGCCCATGGCACCGGGGGAAGTGAGTGAGGGGCAGGACCCCTGTTCTGTCCATTTCACCCACAGACTCATGCCGGTCGCCGGCTGGGTCTGCGCGCGCACGCGGTGGGGGTCGGGGTGAATGGGATGAGAGGGGAACCCTCAAGGTTGGCGTCTGCCTTGTTCCCCTCCTCCACCACTGGCCGCAGAAGCAGCACCCCTGGCTCACCCGTCACAGTCTCCTGCATGTGGGGAGCACAGGGCCCTGCCACCCCCAGCGGCCCCCAGCCCGCGTGTCGGGCCCCAGAGCGTCCCGAGTCGCATGGCCTCCCGGGTCTTCCTCAAAGCCCCTCGCTGGGGAAAAGACGCCGCTCGGCGGAATGCCGGCCCCGGCAGCGGGCTTCGTCTCGCCGTCTTTAGCTACTTTAAAGGTTTCCCGTCTTGCTTCAATTGCTGCATCTTGAGCTATTGGCCAAATGTCAGGAGGCGGGTGCCGGCCAGTGCCTGCAGCGTCAGTCTCTTCGCCTGGCCTGTCTGCCTTATTCCACTCTCCCGGGCGCCACCTGCTTCTCCTCCCGGGAAGGCGCGGTGCTGCCTTGTGCCTGCACCTTCCCCTGCAGTGGCTGGCAGGACGCGGCTGGACTGTTCTGGAGCCAAGGCTCTGCAGTGCTATTAATGGCAGGTCCTGAGGGCAGCAGACGGATGAGCGTAGGAGCCCCCCACCCCCACGCCTCACCTGGTGAACGCCTGGTGTCCGGGCTAAGAATAGACCAAATAGGAACTGAGTGGGCCCCTGGCCTGGCGCCTCCTCCCGTCCAAGACAATATGCCAGCCCCCCCGGGCACCACTGCCCCTGCCAAATCCCCAACACGAGTCACAGACCCTACGCCAGAACCTGAGGCCAGTCAGCTCATCCTGGCTCGTCCAGGACCACACCCCAGGCCCCCCACACCGAGGGCCCAGACATCCGTTCCCTCTTGACCATCAGGCCAGCTGGTAACTCGGCGCGGCCCCGGAAGCAGCCTTTGACCACGCGTGGTGGTATCAACAGACAGCCGTCGGCCGGCCTAGG